TCAATTTTGTCCTAAAAATGTATACACATCTCTAAGATTTGTTGCCAACTGACAAGCATTTCAATTTTAAAAAAACTATTGTTTATCATCCCTGCAAAACTGCTAATAATTCATGTTCAAATTTTCATCAGAATTCCGTTAGCTTAAATCAACAATCACATAAGACCAATAGATGGAGCACGCCTATCTAAATAACATACAAGCAGTTGAAGCCAGGTCCGCCATCTTAGTGCAGGTTAGAAGTGGTAGATGCCAATGAAAACGGCACCAAAACTCAATGTCCAGCTTCAAAATAACTTGACATTTAGCCTATTTAGACTAAATGTAAATCGTTGAAACATCGTATGAAAGATGTCAATTAGTCTAGGATACTATTGGTTCTAATTAAAAGCTAAAAGTTTCCATTTTCTATTTTAAATCTTGAAATAAAGTTGGTACTTTTAAATGAGTTTTAAAATATGACATAAAAAAGTTCGTCGGCTGCTACTGTTTAAATTTTTTTGTTAGGTAAGTTAAAAAACGGTGGCTTAAATTTTATTAACCATTTAATAAAATCAGATGAATTTTGATTGAGTCTTGAATCTTTATTTAACAATAGATTATTTGCTTTTCAAAATTTGTCTTTAGTTTTAGACATATATCCCCAATTCTAAATAGCTCACAAAAATCTTTACAGTCTTAAATAAATAGTAACATTATTGACTTTTGTTTTAGCTATAGATTACTTATTGGGAGTTATTGGAATTGGGGATAAATGCCCTAAACTGAAGACAAATGTTGTAAAAGAAATAATTTACTGTTAAATAAAGATTCATGACTCATTTTAAATTTGTCAGATTTTATTAAGTGATACATAAAATTAAAGCAAAACATCTACTGAGTAATTTGAGACAAGAAAGAACTTGGTGACATATTAGCGACCCGAGATATACATCTTTTAATAAAAACTTAAAAAGTTAAATTTAATATTGTGTTAGGGGTTGTAGCTCGTCTTTAACACGTCCGACTTTAATGATCAATAGCTCAAATGAAATCACTTTTATCACCGAATATTTTAAGGCTAGAATAAACTGCAAGCGTTCGTAAAAACTGGAGATATAAGAAAATTTATCTTAAAAAATTTTCAAACTACGTAACGTCCATAAGAAATGTATGAGGGAGGATTTTCGTTTGAATATATCTTCAAAACAAAAAAATATATTTAAAAACGGATTTTAGCATTGAAATCAGCGTGAAAATCTAATGTATAATGATGTGTCACAACACTCTCATTACGTTTATAAAAATATATTTATATCCAATATGGCGGATCCAAGATGGCGGCCAAAATGCGTTCCCTATCAAAATAAAGGACTAACCACACAATAAATATCGGTGGTAATCTCAAGTGAATACCTCAAAAATATGCATAAAAATGTGTGTGATATATTTTTTAATGTGTCCAATGTTGGGGATAATCCCCGTTTTTTATGTCATCTGAGGGGGTTTCCTGTAGACCGATTTTTGGCAACTTTTAGTACGTCACTCTGCACACCCAACACTATACCAAATAAAACCATACAATGTTTTCTTGCATTGTTTTAAGGCCATATCCCATATTTATCTGACTATTGGTGTTTTAAAATAAATGGCTCTTAAGCAGGGGTTCCCAAACTTTTTTGGTGATGTACCCCTTAGTTCGTACTATGTCTTAAGGCGTACCCCCTGGGCGACCTTTGCCGGGGGGTCTGGGGGGTATGGAATACCCCCCAGTAAGAAGGGGGGTCCGGGGTTTTTTCATCAATTACATGAAAACCACACATTTTTACGCATCTTTTGATGATTTTTCCTATTATATTTGCTTTATAAAAGTCCATATAATTTCACTTAATCACGTGTTTTACAACGACTTAACAGGCCAAGGCTCTCTTCACAACCTCTTGGGCAAAAATCATTGCTCAATTTCAGAAGTGTACTACTACAAACATTAAACAATTTGTGAACACAAACATGTTTAAAATATCTACGTAAACCTAAAACAAAACTACAATATAAATTTCCATTTTTGTATTTTTAGACAATATTTTTATAAGTGTCGCCCAGTTAACATGTTATTTTATGCCCTGTACCCCATAATACAATTAATTTAAAAATGTACACGTATCATTAGTTTGCTTTAAAAAAAATCCAAGTTATTATATGCATTCATCATTACTAGGACCTATCTATGTTATAAAATCTGAATTTCAACGATAAAATGCAATACAAGATTTTTAATATTATATAAAATTACTATTTTATTACTTTTGTTTTTAGTTATTGATGTTGAAACTTAGTAGGTTGAAATGATAAAATGCAAGAAACTACATTAATATATTTATTTAATTATAATCAAATTACAAAATACAAAATTCAGAATTGTGAATGTCACACGATAAATCTGTCACACGAAAGTAATCAGTTATTCAATGTGAGGGATGAGCTTGAATGGAACGACTTAAACTGCTTATGTCTGGCATAATTGGGCTTAACTTGAGTCTGAGATCACATTCCACTGTATGCATTCGGTTCCTGTATTTATTTTTGATATACAGCAGATGCGAAAATCCCGCCTCACATAGATAGGAAGTTCGGAACGGGAGTAGAAACTCAACTGCTTTGTCAGCAATTTCACCGTACTCTGAGCGTCGTTGGATCCAAAAATCAATAAGCGTGGTTTTGTTAAATACTTGTTTTAGGTCCGAATCACAGTTTAACTCAAAAAGTTCCTCTTTGAGTTTCAGAGAAAAGCTGTCTTGAACAATTTTCTCAATATCAGCAAAAGGGTTTTTAATCCATGAGTACGAACTCAGGTCTTCTTGAAAGTATTTTGTAAAGTTGGCTCGGAGGGAGCTGCAATGATCTGATATATCATTCAAAATTGTTTGATTAAGGAGAAGTTCGTTTTCTTTAACAAAAGATTCAAGAGATGGGAACAATGACACTTTATTTTTCTTTGCTTCCCCTTCTGCAAAGCTTAGTTTTACTTTTACACTATTGATTTTGTCCATAACTTGGAATGGGGTGTTATAGCTTCCTTGTAATTTCCTGTTAACATCATTTAACATACTGAATATGTCTGCCAAATACGCCAATCGGCTCAACCACAATTCATCTGAAAAACGGTCACGATACTGAAAGTCTGTGTCAGATAGAAAAATTAATATTTCATGTCGAAGCTCAAAAACTCGAGATATAACTCTTCCTCTCGACAACCACCTTACTTCTGTGTGCAGAAGTAATTGTTTGTGAATGCTATCCATTTCATCACACAAGTTATGGAAAAGGCGTGAGTTCAGTGCTCTGGCTTTGATGAAATTTACAGTCTTTACTGCTTCATTTAATACAGTTTTCAGTTCCGCTGGACATCTCTTTGTAACCAAGGCTTCTCGGTGAAGACTACAATGAATAAATTTGGCTTTTGGGCTTACTTGCTGCACTTGAGTAACAACTCCCTTATGAACTCCAGCCATTGCATTTGCCCCATCTGTGCAAATTCCTACACATTTTTCCCAGTTCAGCTCGTTTTCTCGGATAAATCTGTCTAATTTTCCAAATATCTCGTCTGCAGTTGTGTGTGAAGGCAAATTTTCGCAAAATAACATGTCTTCTCCGACAGTATTTCCATCTTCGTACCTAACATAACACATTAGCTGAGCCATGTTAGTTACGTCAGTTGTTTCATCAATTTGAATAGCAAAATAATTACTTTTTTTAATTTTAATGAGTAATGTTTCCTTTACATTAGCAGCCATGTCACTTATTCTTCTTGAAACTGTATTGTTAGAAAGCGAAAGTGAATCAATTTGTTTCGCCTCTTTTTCTCCTAACATGGTTGACACAATGTCTTTAGTTGCTGGTAGTATTAATGTTTCCCCAATGGTATGTGGTTTGCCCTCTTTAGCGATTCTAAGACTAACTTTATAGGAAGCTTCAACCGCTTTTATATTCAAACTGGTAAAAGAATTTATATTTGTCTTACTGCCTTTTAATGAAGCTTCCTTACGTTTGAAAAAATCCAAAGGTTTATCTTTGTAACTTTCATGTTTTGTTAGGAAATGACGCTTTAAAAGAGATGGTTTCATTGAGTGATGAGAAAGTGTTTCTAAACAAATTACGCATTGTGGCCTAACTTCATTGTCATGGGCCTCATTATAAGTAAATCCATAAGACAAGTAGCTGATATCATATTTACGCCTTTTTGATTGAGAGCAAGTTTTTTGAACTAATGGTGTCGCAGAACACATAGTAGAACTTTGCTCTTTTGATGAAGATGTACTAGGACTAGGTACAGGAGTAAAATTACCTTCTTCAAGTGGCGATGAAACTCTTTGCTTTTTCCGAACGCTTGAAGATTGACTTAACCACTTATCCATTATGATAAAAAAAACTTACATATAACTCAAACTGCCTATGAAATAATTAATTAATTAAATTATACGAATAATGCGACTCATGACAAACACTTTGTAAACACAAGTACTGCGCACTGAATGAGCAGACGCCAGACGATAGACGAAATAGCGAGCGTCAGTGATGTAGCCGCTGGGCGCACAACACAAAACTTCCCTCGCAACCTGAAATTTCCCTTCGCCACTAGATCGCGCAAACTGGCATAGTCCTACTCGCGTACCCCCTGACAATGTCTCGCGTACCACCAGGGGGTACGCGTACCACAGTTTGGGAACCTCTGCTCTTAAGAGAAATTGCCGCCATTTTAAAATGTATTTTTAGACACTTTCCCATGGTCGGATTTTGTCGGATTTTGGATATGTTGTAAAGTAACATTTGTTGAGTCGAATACCACTTCAATGGCTTATGAAGCAATTTTGCCCAGGTCAAATCATAATTTTACTAGACTACTATGTTTGAATTTAAATTAATTTTTAATTAACAGTTTGTGAAATATTTGATTATTGAACCATGTATCTCTCTTATATCATTACCATGCTATGTTATCTCAAATAGTTGTACGTTTGTAGACACTGGAGACTAGTAGTTGTGAACTGGCCTGCATTGTACGTCTTGTGCTCGTTTTGGTAACAATGTGCGACACAACAAACCTCAAGGACTGGACCGACTTAGCCGCTGCCATGTCTTATGTCATGCATTCTTCGGAAACACAGGTAGTAATACTATCTCAAAATAATTAGGAAACAATCTTCATGGCTTAAAGATCATGGTATTTGTATTCATATAGGATTATACTGTTATAAAATGTTTGGTACCGTATGATTAGAAAAATTGAATCATTTTTTAGGTAATTAAATTCTCTACTAATTTGATTGTGATACTTATTGCTGAATTACATCTACCTAAAGTTAGAATTTAGACAAATTAAAAAAAATTTACTTTCCCTTTTTATTAAGTGAATATTTTCTTAGCCGTAAGTCGTGTAGAAACAAAATATTAAACGTAATCATGGGAAATTTAACTGTCCACAACATTGACCATATCTTATTTTTCACTAAAGCGGTTTTTACACTGCCGTATTACCACGTCCATAGCAGGCATGTTCGCCACGCCAATGGACAGCCGTACGCAAATGTCGTGGCACCACGGTACCGTCCCACGGCCACAAGTAGCTGTGTAGTGTAAACAGTTTTCTGCTAGAAGCGTATTCATTAAAGGCGTGTTCATTTTTATTCACGGGTGCGGTATGGATTGTGCCAACAGATTAATTATTGAAGTTTGTGCTACAGTAATTGTTATTTTAGCTGAAGAAATAACACGACATTTAAGTGTTATTAAAAGATAGAAACCAAGCTGTAGCTTTCAATATTTATATTAAATAAACAAGGTTCACTTTGATACAGTTCAAGCATTAAAATTGTTTGACCTTCCATTAATTTTAAAGATTGCTTTGTTTTCACCAGTTCAATTGATTCGACTTGTGTCAATGTTATAGATTTTTTTTTGTTTTCACTATGGTACCATACTTAAAAACTAAGACGACAACCACTGACTTTAAAGAACAATAGTTAAACTCGTAGTACACACAATGACGAGACGGAAGACCATAACTCCTTTTTACCACGTCTAGCCACGCCTGCAACTGGCGTAGCAACCAAACACGGTTTGGTTAGTCCTAAAGGGCGTGGGGAACAGGCGTATTGGATTGCCACGCCTGTTGCTCTCACATCTCCACTGTTTACACGAGGCGTGGCCACGCTTCTCAAGAAAGTGAGAAAATTTCTCACCTACACGCCTGATTTTAGCCGTGGCCCCACGATAGTGTAAACACCGCTTAAAACGCACCAAAACTGAAATATTGGCAAAAATCTCAAGACATTGCCAATTTTTTTCTGATTATTTCAATATAACGGCGGGCGCGAAGGAAAAAATTGTGCATTTTGCATTTTAAACACCCACTTACCATCCTAGACAATTCATACAAAATTTCGAAGTAACGTACCTTTTGTAAGTTAACCCCTCCATTTTTGTCTCTATTTACCGAGCATAGACCTTAACAAAAAGATAAAGTAAACAAAAATTATAACACTTCAAGCATCCAGTTGTGTAATCTGTTTTAATTTATTCTTTTACTGTATGATGGTTATACCATCGCAGGCGAAGCCGCGGGTACTAGCTAGTAGCTTCATATGTTCATAACACTTTCTAAAAAAGATAATTTTTAATTATTTTTCAAACTAACGCAATCTGTGCTGACATTTTTATTGATACGTACTTGTCCAAGGCATTCTTTCTCTAGGTGACTTAAGAATAAACTTTTAAATTAATGAGAAACAAAATATATTAAAGAAAGGAATCCACACTTTTTATTTAGATCGCACAAACATAAACATGAACACAGCTTAATATAAAAAGTAAAACATATGATATTGAAACAATGTACATTTAAACAGTTCAGAGGCAAAATTGTCAATGTTCCAATACTCCCTTCACAATTTTGAAACTAAATGTCACAAAGTCCAATGGATGAGCTGTGTAAACTTTACTCGATTGAGAGGTTTAGTAAGGATGTCGGCAAGTTGATATGTTGTTGATACATGTTCAACATCAACAAGTCCTTCCAAGAATCTTTCTCTGACAAAGTAATACTTAACTTCCCAGGACACGAGCTGCTTCTGGTTTATCTACCAAAATCCAAGTTTTATTTTCATGAATAGATTTTATTTCATCGTCCATAGCAGCCTTCCAGTCAGATGCATCATACAACACCATTGCTTCTTGGAAACAACAGTAAGACCTTGGAAACATCTGTGTTTCTGATTGAACCAGCATCAGATCAAAATTTCCACTGCTCATCCAACTTGGTACATTTTTCACTCGTTTTCCTTGTCGTAACACGTCTTTTGTGGTTTCATTTTTAGACAATACCACACACTTGTCTTGCTCACCTCCCTCCAAAACAATAGGAGGTGCTGCTTTGTCAGTTTCCACTTCCGTGGTTTCATTTTGAGACAATACATAACACTGCTCAACTCCCTCCAAAACAATAGGAGGTGCCGCTTTGTCAGTTTCCACTTCTGTTGTTTTTGAATTAATGTCAAAATGAACTTCATCGCTCGAAGATGGCTCATTATCAGGAACAGTACTTCCTTGGGATATCTCAGGTTGGAAGATAACATCATTGCTTATAACAGTTTGCCGTTTGCTTGGTATACACACTCTGTATCCATCCCTCAAACCATGATACCCAACAAAGATTCCGTCAATGCTTTTAGCATTCCACTTTTTCCGCTTTTGCTTCGGCTGATGTACAAAGCAGTTAGTTCCAAATACTCTGAGGTGTTGCAGACCTGGAACACTCTTACCCGACCACAATTGCTGTGGTGATTTGCCTTCTACAGGACTTGGTCCTGTAAGATTAAGGAGGTAAACTGCAGTATTACAAGCCTCAGCCCAAAGAATCTTCGGTAAGACTTTCCTCTGAAGCATAGAGCGAGCAGACTCCACAATCGTTCGATTTTCCCTCTCAACAGAACCATTCTGTTCAGGGCAGTAGGGAGAAGTTGTATGTATCTTAATACCATACTCCTGAATGATTCTCGTAGTTTCCTTTGATAGGAATTCAGACCAGTTATCAAACAACATTTCTTTTATGATCTTTCCACCTTGTTTTGCTTCTGTGAGAAAGATGCGCATACAATCAGCTACTTCACTTTTATTCTTTATGAAAAATACTTGGCGATACTTACTGTAGTAGTCTTTAAACAATACAAAATAGCGGTTACCTCCAAGAGAAGTAACCTCCATAGGTCCGCAGACATCTGTACTGATCAGTTCAACAACCACCTCAGGACAAGTTGGACGAGAATTAAATGGACCACGATGAGATTTACCAAGAACACATCCATTACACAGACCCATGTCTCCAGTCACATTAATTCCATTCATCTTCAAAACTTGTTTAACATGGCGTTGATTCTGATGACCTAGCCGTTCGTGCCATAGCTGTAAACAATCTTCAATCTTTCTTACATGCAAGTTGTACAGTGGGTTGTATAGGACAAATAGCACGCATGTTAAGAAAATATAAATCCCCATGTAAATGTCCAGTCAATGTAACAATACCATCGAGGGTAAATTTACATCCAAGATTGTCAGCAGAAAAAACATGGTTCTTCTTCGCTGCCTTGCTGACTGACAACAGATGAGCTCTAGAATTAGGTACATACAAAACGTTTTCTACAGTCGTTTGAATTAGCTCCTAACGTCCCGATTTGCAAAAGTTAACTCATTTCCGCTCATAAAACTATATTTTGCAGGCATATCCTTCTTGTTATCAGATGTAGATACCGTAGACTTCTTTTTAAGTGGACAATCAGGAACCTTATGCCCTTTTTGTTTACACTTAAAACAAAATATCTTAGTAACCTGCTTTTGATTCTGATTGCTCTGCCCTTGTGTTTCTGTTTTAACCCTTGTACCTGTGGGTTTTGAAACATATAAAGCAGTTTAAAGTTACTCCACGTTATCACACTGCTCTAAAGTGTGAAGCTTTTCAACTAGTGTTTTAATTGTTCTATCCTTAGATGGCATAGCTTCCCATACATTTCTGAATTAACGAAAGCTTGGCCCCAAAGTAGAAACAATTCTTGCAATTAAACTCTGTCACTAAGCTTTGATTCTTTTTGTTTCTCAAGTGCATCATTTAATTCGGCAAAATGTTTTTGAAGCTTTGCAACATGGGTAGCTATGTCCTCGTTAGGATCCCGATCCCACCTAAAGAACTCTTCTAGCAAACGATCTAGCCTTTGTTCACTAGACTGTTCATACACAGATATTAAACAATCCCAAACTTCTTTAGAAGTCGAGCAAGTCAAAACCAGTGTAGATGGTTCATCGCCTAGAGATGACATCAGGTATAACATAGCAGAAGCATCTTTTCTGTCCCAATCTGCAATAGCATTTTGCTCAGATCCGGAGATGTTAGTAATAGGTCTTACTTCAGATCCCATTATGAAACTCAACAATCCTTGTTGTCTTAACAACAACTGAATAAGCATCTTCCATTAAGTCCAATTACTTGCACCCAAAAGTTTCTCTATACATAATTTTCATTAGTATTTGCCATAATGTCTAACCAATTTTATACTTGCTCCAAGTAAACAAAATTCAACAGTTACAATGGCAAAACAATGAAGAAAATATTATATAGCTTCTTGAAAAGTAATTTTAAAAATAAAACCTTATTTGTTGAATAGCCCATAACCTATTGATACGTACTTGTCCAAGGCATTCTTTCACTAAGTGACTTATAAGAATAAACTTTTAAATTAATGAGAAACAAAACATATTAAAGAAAGGAATCCACAATTTTTATTTAGATCACACAAACATAAACATGAACACAGCTTAATATAAAAAGTAAAACATATGATATTGAAACAATGTACATTTAAACAGTTCAGAGGCAAAATTGTCAATGTTCCAATAATTTTAGAGAATCTAATAGGCAATCCCCAGGGCTGAATTAATTTATTAATTATTTTCTCTGAATAATTTTATTGTTGTTGTGTGACGGTATTGTGTATTGTTAAATCAGATGTTACTGTATTTAACATTCAAACCTCCAGTTTTATGAAACTAACATAACTTTCTTTTGGTAGGGATGGGAGGAGGTTTGTGAACCAGGAGTGAGCTATTTGCTGTCCACCAGTCTCGCCAAGTCTGTGAGGGATCACCAACGGTCAACAATAGATCCGTTAAAAGATTCCGCACGCTTCAAGAAACTCATCTCAATGGCGTTAGACCGAGTGGTTTCCGGACTGACACCTCGCCCCAGGGAAGAGGCTAGGGGTAAGTTTTTGCATTTTTAGATGATTAGTTCAGTGATAGTTTTATTGATTGTGGCTAAAAACCTCAAAATTATCATATCGATCTTTAGGTTGAAATTTAAATTCTTCTGCACACTTCTCCTGACCTTACTGCAGGCACGGACTTGGACCATTTGGAGCCTAGCTATATCTTGTAAAGGGGCTCTTTGCCAGGGGATTACTTTTTTGAATATGGTGTAATGATGAAGAAGGATTACTAAAGGAAAGGAAGTGTAATGGCCCCAGTACAAGGCAAGAATGGGGAATGGAAGAGTGTACTTGGTGTCCTCGACTTCTTCCACCCTGATTCAGGTTGTCTCGCCTCGCCTAGTGTCGTGCATGCCTGCGCTTCGTCTGGAGTCGATTTTTTGGCACAAGTCAAAGGACCCGAAACTGCATGAGAGCCAAGCGCAAGGCGCCCCAGTTCACGCTCGCTTGGTCAATGCAAAAATCAATGCTGCAACTTCTACATCCAAGTTTGCCTCCATTTTAACTGTGAGAAAAAGTGAGAGTGAACATGGTTACCTCACATACGATATATGCCCAGCCTTCTAATAGTGGTGTAGACTCGTCGCAATGTGCAGCGCTACCTCCTGCTGACACCTCTTGTCGGCTGTCTGGCTCCAACTGCCCAACCTTCAAATAGTGGTGTAGCCTCGTCGCGTGCAGCGCTGTCTCCTGCTAACCGCTCTCGTCAGCTGTCTGGCTTCAACTGCCCAGCCTAAAACAGAATCTCCTATTATAACCCGTCCACTATTGCACGGAGTGGAAGGGGAAGATTAAAAGGATGGCTGGGGGCTCAACACGCCCGTCCAGCCAGTGCGGGCTCAACACACCCATGCTCTAAGGTACTGGGGGCTCAACACGCCCATCCCGTACCAAGGAGAGGATACGTACTGGGGGCTCAGCCCGCTCAGCACGCCCGTCCTGTACCATAGAAAGGAATAAGTACTAGGGGCTCAACACGCCCGTCCTGTACCGGAGGGAAAGGTAAAGAAGGAGTACTGGGGGCTCAACACGCCCGTCCAGCCAGTGCGGGCTCAACACGCCCATGCACTATGGGAGAGGGAATAGTACTGGGGGCTCAATACGCCCATCCCGTACCGGAGAGAGGGAAAAGTACTGGGGGCTCAGCACGCCCGTCCTGTACCGGAGAAAGGAAAAAGTACTGGGGGCTCAACACGCCCGTCCTGTACCGGATGGAAAGGTAAAGAAGGAGTGCTGGGGGCTCAACACGCCCGTCCAGCCAGTGCGGGCTCAACACGCCCATGCACTAGGGGAAAGGGAATAGTACTGGGGGCTCAACGTCATCCCGTACCGGAGAGAGGGAAAAGTACTGGGGGCTCAACTCGCCCGTTCTGTACTAGAGGGATACCAGAGAAAAGTAGGGCATTGAATAGGACGGCCAAATGAGCGGCAAGAACAGGAGAGCAGAGTTTCAGAACAGCTGGGGGTATGCCATCTGGACCAGGGCCTTTGGATGGGTCGAGTTTGTCAAGCCTCGATTGAACCTCAGTGGCTGATATTTTGATCGAAGAAAGGGAGTCACCAGTAGCGAAATTGAAGACAGGAATTGGAACATCACTGACACCAAACACTGAAGAAAAGTGACCAGCAAAAAGGTTGCATTTTTCACTAGGGTCTTCAGCCACTCTATCATTTAGGGCCATCTTCGGTGGGAGACTGGATGCGCCTTTCAGGCTGGAGACATGCGACCAAAAGGATTTGATGTTATGAGGAATGCTGTCCTCAACCCTACCAATGTAACATGCATAGCAATTTCCAGCCAGAAGTTTGCATTGCCTCCGCAAACATCGAAACCGTTCTAGATCAATAGGGTTTCCAGAAGTCTTGAAATTCCTATGGGCAATATTCTTCACGATGACTAGATTTCTCAGGTCCTTGGAAAACCATTTAGGGAAACTAGATGTTTGAACTCTCTTCATGGGTGTATTCAGCGTTATGATGTGAGACAGCTGACTGCAAAAAAGGCTGAATGACTGTTCGCAGTCATGCAAGTCATCTAATACGGGCAATGTAAGAGCTTGCACTTGGTTAAATATTGATTCGTTGTTACATCTTCTAAAGTCATGAACAAGCTTTACGCAATTTTGACTCACCGGAACAGGGATGGCTGCAGTAATTTCTAAAGCAGGATGATGTCTATCTTCCGGAAGAAAAGAGTCCAGGGCCGGAGCAACTACAGTGTCAGGCATTGACGAGAGAACGAGGTCAAGTGTGACACCTCGATAGTTGTGGACATTGTTGAGCTGTTTAAGTTCATAGAAGTTCATAATTATTAACTTTAAAACGAAAATAGTGTCATGCTTACCACCGGGCCTTGTGAGAACGTCCCTGCGCCCATTTTTCTGTACAACTACAATGGTTGACATTGTAATAATTGTTAATAAATCAATAAATGACATTAACAAACATAAAATAATTTCATATAACTGTTATTATACCGTAACATAAGTGTAATATAAAACGTCAATTTCTATTTTTTTCATCTAGCTCATAAAAAAAGTAAAATTTGTCCCTCTTTCCCATTTTGCGTTCTTGCCCAACCGGCGCCCATTTTGCGCCCTTGTCTAACCTGCGCCCTTGGCAGGGGCCACCATCGCCACAGCCTAGGTACGGCCCTGATGGAACACGAAATAATACCCAGTAAATAAGTAGGGGACGAAAACTGTTTATTCCGATCAATATAATTTATTCCCTACGGCCACCAGAACAATCATAGTGAAATCCGCTTGCAGGTTGTGTAGAAAATTGCTAATGTGTGGGAAACATACAAACATTTTATCGTAGGTGATCAATATTACTCAAGGTAAGTGTTTGGCGTTAAGCAGTACCAAACTTTACCTTCTGGAGATGGCGATTACGAATACGTATAACTACAATATAAATTTGTATTTTCGAAATATGTGTTACTTTTCATGCAAAATGATCCAAAGGAAAGTGGTAATTGAGTTTGAGTTTGGGAATGGATGGAACGTGAAATAATACCGAAAGTAGGGGACGGAAACTGTTTGTTCCGATTAAAATCATTTATCCCACCAGAACAATCATGGGGAAATCCACTTGCAAGTTGTGCAGATAATTTCTAATGAGTGGGAAACATACAAACATTTTATCGTAGGTGATGATGAATCTTACTTAAGATCAGTGTTTGACGTTCAGTAGTACCAATCTTTACCTTCTCGAGATATCGAGTATTCTGGATATGTAGAACTACAATTTATCAGTGAACTATACCCTAACTATTTTTTTCCAGTAGGCACACAGGGAAGTTGCTTGAGAAACTGTGACTTACAATTTCGGTTCTGGCGAAAAAGTGTGTGATTTGATGTTTAAAGGCAAATTTGAAACGGGTCATTATAGTGTTATACAACTTTATCATAATCCCCAGGGTGTGAAAAGTACAAAAATAAAAAGAAAAGGTGGAAACTGTGCGTAAAGAGACAACCAGAACGAAAAAAACCTGGAGAACCATGGAACTAAAAAGTAAATAACAGTGATGGTGTTAAATGTGCTCTGGAAGTTCCTAAAAAAACACCAACTCTTTTGAATTGGGGTCGTTAGATTGGATTTGACTGCAAATCTATGAATTTAGAGTCAGAACAGACTAACAGGGACACAGCACAAGTATTTTCTCCTTATGTTGTCACAAGGGGAAGGTAAAATTAGCTCCTTATCGACATTCTGAGTTCATAGAAAATCTTATCAACATGGACTACATAGGCTATAAAAAGTAAAAGAAACAAAAAAAACTATTTGAATAATATAAAATCTTACAACTCTGCATTTGCAATGGTGAGTTTGTAAGACTCACTTAGATGAATCATCATTCTGGTAGTCTATATAATCCGGGGCTCCGTTTACCATCAGATTCGTTAATACCCTCTAACATTGAACCAAAGTATGCCCAACTTTATATTATAGCCTATACAACGTATACGCAGCTGTTACTCACAGAATGGGTCAAAGATCCGTGAAATGCGGCCAACTGATGATGCGTGATTTAAATTACTATCTTTATTCCGCACAACGAATGTAATGAACAAGAAAACAAAGAATGTAGGAATATACATTACCAAATTATCTCCATAGCATAAGTAGCTTATTAGGTTATCAGCATTGTGCACTTGTACAGTTCATACACCATTTATTTTTCAAATGTAACTCGAATTAATTTAAAACATTCATTTGGTTAAACTAATATATTGGTTTGATTAACATAAATAGTTTATACAGGCCCAACTATCCGTTCTACTTCATATAAAAAAACAGTCCCTAAATAAAATACAAAGATTATTTGTATTTTATTTAGGGACTGCTTTTTTTATATGAAGTAGAACGGATAGTTGGGCCTGTATAAACTATTTATGTTAATCAAACCAATATATCAAAGATAAACAGTATTTGTTAATTATTATGTCTTTTATTTTATCTTTTTTCTTTCAATTTCTAATATTATTATTTCCTGATAGCGGAAATCTCTCACGCACGGGTAGTAGCCTATGTGAGAGGCATTTCGTATTTAATGACTATGTTAGTAGGCCTATATTATTTTATTTATTTATATCATTGCATAACTATGAAATTTTTACTGGCAAAGCGTAACAATGTATTTACTTACTGAAATAAACATGATTTTGATTTGATTTTATTTGATTTGACAATATTCCCGTGGCGGAGCACGGGCGGCTAACTAGTTATTATTTAAACCATACTCGGACAGTTGAAAACTCGGACACTTGATATTTCAATATTTTTTAAAATAATTTAATAAACTCAGACAAATGAAAACTCGGACAGTTGATTTATCTAATTATTATTAGTTATTTATCAAAACTCGGACAAATGAAAACTCGGACAACTGATTTTTTAAATATTTTGTAATTTTTAACAAACTCGGACAGTTGAAAACTCGGACAAATGATGTGATCCTTTTACAACTAAAAACCGTAATATTTCAGCTATTTCTTATTCAATCTTTTTTAACTTCGTATTGTTTGATAAGTAATTAAAAATTCTAAATAAATGTGTTCTTGGCATTTTTTCATAAAACCAGTCATTTTCGAGTAATTTGAGTTTAAACAATTTAAATGGCCACCATTTCGAATTTTTAAGTTGAATCAAGATGAATTTTTTTCTAACATGGGGTCTCTTTTACCTTAACATACATACCAGGTTTGATAAAGATCAGTTGAAAATTACAAAGAAAAATGTTTATATAAAAAACACAACATGGCGGATATCTGGTTAAAGAAGCGATTTTGGAAAAAAGTTATTCTTGATTTTCTCTTTATTTTGACCCAAGAAATACTACTGTACGTAAATTATATCCCCACCTTAAATTATAAACGACCCTTACTCGACCTTCTTGTTACATTTGTATTTTACTTTTTGGCTCAGTATGTGCTGCAATGTCATATAGAATTGCATTTGATGTATAACCTTATTTTCATGATTTACCTAAACAGTTCCTCTTGCAACCACATCTGATAAAACCTTGCTTGGATCCAGATTACATCATTGCTTCTGTGCATTTTACGTTTACTTGCCCATCGGGTGCATCTCGGTGCAAATAAATTTATTTGGCTTCACATGGAATTGGTTTCTTGAGAACTATCGGGTACATCCTTGGTGCAGATAAATTTATTTGGCGTCACCTGGAAAAGGTTTCTTGAGAACTATGTCTCCAGAACTCCATGTTTAGAACCAAGAGTTAACATCAGGTATGATGAGAATCATGTTGTCTCCGACTGAAACTGGGATTAATTTTCTTTCTGTGTTCTGGGAATTTTTTGTGTCTGGATGTTTAAGGAAGTTACACAGTTTTCCCATGTTGTATTTATAGCAGATTTTCTTGAGCAAGGAGTGCACAAAGGTATGCTAACTGCTCTCTATTTAGGACTTAATTATGGATGTCTTGTGAGAACAAGAATTCGGCGTTTGCACATAATAGAAATACCCACAACCCAACAAGGACAATTACTTTTGTTCTCACCGCGTTATGGGTATTTTGGATTTGTTCAATCGCCGAAGAACGTTTGAACTTCGGCATTTGAGTAAATTGATTAAAATTATTAATTTAATTGATTAAATTTAAATTTACCCTTTAATCACCCCTCAGAAACCATCATCACATTTTAAAATATTTTTATATCCAAAACACATTATTGTTAACAAAAAGCCTGTAACCTGTAATTTATCCCATAGTTGCAATAAAACTGTTGTCCAAAATGTTTAATATAGTATAAATTAATCGTAAAACCCCAACATTACATTATTTTCCAAAAGCCTGAATATTAGTGCAAGTGATGTTCCTTTATGAAGAAAGAAGACAGCTGGCTACAACAATGAACCAATGAACATTTGTGTGAAATTAAAAAATTCCTTCTCTTCTCTTTTGGACATGGCAGCTTCAACATCTTAAATTCAGTGAGGGTATAATTCTTATGTAAAACATTTAAATAAAGTCAAAGTGATTAAAAGTATTTAACACTAACAACAGAAGAGTTAGCCTTCATATTTATCTTATTTTTCTATTTTAAATTTATAACTTACTTCCACATCAAGATCGATCTATATTAAATTAATTTGCCACTGTGACTGTGAAGAACCAACCTGGTGACAACTCTCCATTTTATGAATATTAGGCTTAAGGCCTATTTTGCTTGGAGCGACTGTAGCGATAGTCGCACAGCGATTATCGCTCAGCTACTATCGCTGTTGCTGCGACCGTTTTGCTTAGAGCGATTGATTTTCGGTCGCTGCGGGATTTTTCATTGTTAGTTGAATGTGCACTCACAATGGTGAAGTCATGAGTGCGTTTTGTATTTTTTTTAAATATCTCCTCAGTGAGGAGTTAGAAGAAGAGGCTCTACTTCAACCTAGTGGAAGTATCAATAGTCGATCGATAAAAAATACATAGTGATACGTAGGATTTGGGACGGATACGTATCACTAGATAGGATATAAATAGAAAACTGTAGTGATATCAATGAAAAAAATATATATTTATATCAATAAAAAAATGTGTGATATCAATAAGAGTACATAAATGTCGGAAAACAAAACCTGGAGTCTAAATAAAATACCCTCGCCGCAGCAAACCTGCAGACAAACTGTTTGAATAAGTAACTCTAGAAATAGTTTTCTACATCTCTTTTCACATGTCTTTTGGTGAAGGGAGTTCTCCACCTGTCTGAGATTTACTTTGCTCTTTTTGTTTTAGATAAGTGGACCTAGGCTCAAAACCATCAGGTCAATTGGTGTTTGCCGAAATTTGAACTCTGGGCCTCTAAGACAAAATAAGAAGTTTTAATCTCTAACCACTAGACTATTTGCTCTCCGCATATCAATATATCCTTTTTTTTTGCAGCTGTTTCACCAATCATGGAAGGAGAAGAAAATATCTCCAGTGCTCATGTTCACTCAAGAAAAAACTCAAGTGATGACAATCTAGTTTCACTGAAACTGCTTCCAAGCAGAAAGGCTCTGCAGTCATACGGTTGAGTACTTGTTATTATTGTATTGTTGGCAATTTCTTAAATTGTAAACATGTTATCCTTTGAACTCCATGGGTAATGGTGTAATGTTGAAATTCAGTGATTTGATAATGCATATTTTTATACTTTTTTCAAACAAGTATTATATTTTTATTATGAACACAAAATTGTTTTTGAAAGAATTTGGTGGAATCACAGTTAGGATAAGAGAAGGTCCTCCTGCATTTATAAAGATAAGGTTGTAAAATTGTAAATGGCCGCCATTTTGAAAAAGAAATATCCGTCCAAGTTTTTTTTTTCAATTTGTTAATTGTTGCTGCAAATCCTAATTCAAAGCGCACAATCTTATACAGTGTTAAAGATAAAAATTAAAAATATAAAAAACAAAATGGTGTATAGCTTTTTAAAGCTAGTTATTTTTGGATAAAATACTTTTATTCTGCCTAATCTACTGTAGTTTTATCTTTTAATTAACAAAATTGTTAACTAAACGCCACCACCCGCCACGATCACCCGACGATGTGTATTGTCCGTGTGGTTGTGTTGCTTCTTGCTTCAGGCTAGGAGCTTCAAAAAAGGTGGGGACATAATTGAGTGAAAATTTAAAAACGTACGTTTTCAGGAAAAGCACTTTGCAAATTTTTTTCCCCTTTTTTCAAAACTTTCATTATTTTTTTTATTTCATTAACATTTGAAGTTTCATAAAATGTCCATGGTAACGCAATATCTTTGGTAGTTTTTTTTTTAAAGAGCATCTTTAGTGGAAAAACACAAAATCCTGTCACGACCATAACAGACGTTTAAATAAATATTAAAAATAGTTAATATTATTTTTATAACTCTGTTTTGCTATAAACTAATTTACTTTTATGACCATTATACAATAAAAAGGTCACTGAGCTTTTGGTACATTTGGCCTTTCTAGAAAAAAATAAAAAAATAAAAAAAATTGAAAAAAAACCAATAAAATCTTTTTGAGTTTGTATAACTCAGAAAAAACTTACCTGAGACCCGAAAAATCGTTATGTTTGTATAGAGGTATGCTTCTTTTGTGTATAAAACATTGAAATATGACGATATTTTAATTTTTGAAATTTTTATGATAGAAATCATAAACGTGATGGTCAGGGACAAGCGGTACGGTCGTGAATTGTCTGAAATAATCTAAATCTTTCTAAACAATCCTTCAATTTTACTGTTAGTTATAATAAAAATATGTGTTTCAATTGAACTAAACTGTTCAATTTACAATTATGTTAAAGTTATTGTCACGACCAAACACACTATAATCCATAAGGCTGGATGGGTCGTGAAAAAACCCGCGATGGTTGTGAAACTTTGGTCGTGAAATTACGTCTTATTTGGCTCTGTTCTGGCGGTAGCCCTGCACCTCATGTTCGAGGATACAAAGTGGACTTCTAGGTTAATCTAGCAATTGAAATATCTTATAAACAAAAATTAACACCATGTCTACTTCATCGAATGACTACGTACGGTCATGGACACACCAAAATTACAAAAAACACAATCTTTCCTTTATTAATCTTGTAATTCCTCCTTTCAACTCAAAACGACCGGCACTACAATCCTGACGTACACCCCGAACTAGTCTCTAAAACCAACTGACTCCATCGACGTCAGGCTTGCCACTGTCGTGCTCCAAAGTTGAAAATTTTTCCCAAATGGTCGTGATGCCAAATCGAGGGACAGACTTATTTTGTCATGGTAGTCAGTTTGCAATGACAATAAAATTATAATATGCTCCTTTTTTGTAAGTTTAATAACCATTGATGACATAAAAATATGGCTTTATATATTTCGGCATGAATAATTAGTCTAAAAACAGCGTGAAAGTTGGAAAATGTACCCTAGGGACACGTCATGGTCGTGAATTTCGAGACTTTAAAAATACGAAAAAAATACCTAGAACCTATTTAAAACCAAATAAATGTGTGTAACATGTTGCCCCCGTCTCAAAAAATATTAAAACACATAATAATAAGCTACAAATCCAGTATCTACTAAGTAAAAGGCCAGGGACATGAAAACGTACGTTTTTAAATTTTCACTCAATTAACGTATTGATTCCTTGGGTCAAAATATAAAGAAAATCAAGAATAACATCTTTTCCAAAATCGCTCCGTTAACCAGATATCTGCCATTTTGTATTTTTCACATAAACATTTTTATCTTCAAATTTTTTCAACCGATCTCTATCAAACTTGGTATGTATGTTAAGGTAAAAGAGACCCATGTTATACAAAAAATTCATTATTATAAGAATAAGAATAAGAAAGTTTATTGCCATGGACCAAGTTGTACATAGGAATAGGCATTGTCAAATTATATTAAATAAAATATTACTAAACATGTTCATATCTATAGGTAACAAAGATTGAGAATTCAACTCAACTTAAAATTTAAAAATGGTGACCATTTAAAATTTGTAAACTTAAACTCCTAAATAATGGCTGATTTTAGGAAAAAATGTCAAGGACACTTTTATTTAGCATTTATGATTCCATATTAAACTATATCAAGTTCAAAAAGATCAAATAAGAAATAGCTGAAATATTACAATTTTTAGTTGTAAAATGGAACAAACCTGACAAGCTACCCTTATTCTACCTGCCTTATTCTACCCCATTTTACAACTTAGAATCGTAATAATCAGCTATTTCTAATTTGATCTTTTAGCGAATTTCCCATATGGGGAATAAGCTATTACCGTAGTACTCATGGTAAGACCTGGACCCGAGACCGATTTACTTTTTTGTTTTGAGGTCCCTAGAGGACAAAAACACTATCCGTTCAAATTCATATATATGTGTCCGTTAGCACGATAACTAGAGCAAAAATGATCCGATTTTGATGAAATTTGGTTCAAACGTGTAAACCTACGTTTATTCTAACAAGTTCGTGAACCAGCATGACCGGACTATGGGAACAGGGGTTTATGGGGTAAAAATAGGGTTTTCCCATTTTTGACCCTAAAAACACAAAATTTAACAATTTCTTTCCAAACCATTTCGTAGAGCTTAAAAAAAAAAAAATAATTTAGTATATTGAAGTGTTATTATGCGCCTAATAGTTATAGAAAAAATTCCATAAAATTGTAATTTTTAAATTCCCACGTTATTCTTATGCTGACCTAGCTGGCCGACAGACGTCGTCCTGTCCTAATGTGGTTTTATGTCAAATGCTTGTTCATTTTCAAGATCCTGGTTGAAGTTCGTCCGCTACGCTCACTCACCTTTAGGTTGGAGCTCGTTCGCTGCGCTCACTTGCCTTCAGGTTAGCTCGTTCGCTACGCTAACTCGCCTCCAGGTTGAAGTTCGTTCGCTACGCTCACTCACCTTTTGGTTGCAAATTAGCTGTCGTCATAAATTTAAAAAAAGTCGTGCTGCACCCTGTTGGGAAACTTATTAACTTTTTAATGCTATTGAACATCACAGAATAAAATTGCTTAGTTGAACCAGCTGTTAGGATTCTTTAATTCCATTTAAATATGAGTACTCATAAGGTTAACATGGGAAACTCCAGAGCCACTGGGGCGGGAGCCCTTTTGACGGATCTGCACCAAACTTCACACAAACCATCCTTGAATAATGCTTAATAATGCCTTAAAGTCTCATTACAATCTGTCGAGCGGTTTTGGAGTCCATAAAGGACAAACAAACAAACATACATACAAACAAACATACATTGGATTTTATATACAGGGTGTTTTTTTTTTAAACTTGCATCTTTATTTATGTATTTATGTAAATATTCAGTTTGCGGGAATCATCTATTGACGTAGGGGGCACAATTTTTTTTAATTCAATGTTACATTCACATTCCCCCCCTTACCCCCCCTACCCCCAACTTATTTTTTTAAATAGCAAGGTACCCCTTGTGACATATCAAATGAAAGAGCATGAAAAAAGAAAATGTTTAATGAAAAAAAATTGAAAATCGGTTTATAAACTTGTGAGATATTCCCCCCCTCCCCACCCGGAACTTAATTGTTTTTAATAGCAAGGTACCCCTTGTGACATATCAAATGAAAGAGCATGAAAAAAGAAAATGTTTGGTGAAAAAAATTGAAAATCGGCTCATGAATTTGTGAGATAATCTCCCCCCCCTTTTCCCCTACCCATAACTTTTTTTTAAATAGCAAGGTACCCCCCCCCCTTGTGACGTATCAAATGAAAAATAAATTTCACCAAAAATTTTCTTTTTCATGCTCTTTTATTTGATATGTCACAAGGGGTACCTTGCGATAAAAAAAAATTAAGTTTCGGGGAGGGGGGAGGGATATATCTCGCAAATTTATGAACCGATTTTCAATTTTTTTCATCAAACATTTTCTTTTTTCATGCTCTTTTATTTGATATGTCACAAGGGGTACCTTGCTATTTAAAAAAAATAAGTTTGGGGAAGGGGGGAAAGGGGGGAGATGTGAATATAACGTTGAATTCAAAAAAATTGGGCCCCCTACGTCAATAGATGATTCCCGCAAACTGCATATTTCTATCTATTGTGGTTTTTACATAAATAAAGATGCAAGTTTTTAAAAAAACACCCTGTATATAGATAAGGCAACTGTTGAGTTTGCTGGTTTATGAACATATTTTGATCAAATTTGGAAAATACATTCAATTCTTACTAAACTACAGTACTAATTAACATTTTACAACAAAAAATACTTTTTTACCCTCCCTGTTGCAGCAAACCTAAGTACTCGTTAAACTAATCTTCTTAATAAATAAAAGAAAGTTGTGTTAGTTACAGCGTTTATAACTAGAAAACTACTGAACCAATTGGCATGAAAATTTACAGGGATATTCCTTAGGTATTAGAATAACATAATAGCCTGTTTCCGTTTCAAAAACCCTTAAGGGAAGCGTCCTATGGCCCTTTGCAGTTTACATGTTAATCTTATGGAAGAATGTTTTATTTTGTTAACCATGCCATGTTTGTCATTTCTTGATTAAATTAAATTAAGAAAACGGCTGTTGTAATGATAACCTAATTTTTTTTAAAACAAACCTATGCATAACAAATGAGAGCTATCAAATAGGTTTCTATTCCATTTGTTTTTTACAAATATTTGTTGTCAAATGTAACTGAAGGCCAGTGAGCGCAGCGAACGAGCTCCAACCTAAAGGTGAGTGAGCGTAGCGAACGAACTTCAACCAGGACGTGATTGAGCCATGCGAACGAGCTCATCTTGAAAATGAACGAGCATTTGACATAAAACCACATTAGGACAGGACGACGTCTGTCGGGCCAGCTAGTTCTATTTAAATAGGGAATAAATGGGATATTTTTGAGACATTTTAGTGCAAATCCAATCAGGCAAATGGAAATTCGCTAAGTCTGCAGGTTTGCTGCGGCAGGGGTATTTAAACTTGCTATTGTTTGATGGGGAATTAAAAATGCTAAATAAAAGTGTTCTTGAAATATCTTCATAAAAACAGACATTTTTGAGAAATTTAAGTTTAAAAAGTTTAAATGGCCGCCATTTTGAAATTTTAAGTTGAATCAAGATTAAATTATTCCTCTAACATGGATCTCTTCTACTTTAACATACATACCAAGTTTCATAAAGATCGGTTGAAAAACTTCAAAGATATAAAAATGTTTATGTAAATATACAAAATGGCGGATATCTGGTTAACAAAGTGATTTTGAAAAACGTGTTTTTCTTGATTTTCTCTTTATTTTTACCCAAGGAATCACTACGTATATTATGTCCCCACCTTTTTTGAACACCCTGTATAACTTGCCTCATTATAAAAATATATTTCTTTTAATCTGATTTTACATTTACAGATAAACCAAGAAAAACAGATGAAGAAGATGGAGGAGAAGATCTTGAAGATTTGGTTTAATAGTTTTATCTGTTTTAATACTTTTAAGCATTTTAAAATCCCGCCAATGTTTTCATGAGCACTTCTTAATGTTGTCACTTAAATGGGAGCTGCAATCTTGTGATCTCTTTGTCTATAATGTGTTTTCTATAAGGACACATTATAGTGCTAAACATATTATTATTTGTGTTGTGGTAAAGTTTATTGTGTTTTAATGTGAAATGTGTTTGCTATTACACTCCCCAAATGCATAATAAGGCGAATAACCCTTTGAATTTAAGATATTTAAAAAAGACCTAGAAAACTATCCCTGAAACAATTTTTTTTTAAATTAATGTTGCCATGAATGCATTGCATGGAACAAAGTTTGAGGGCTGTCCCAAGTTCTTCATGAAGCTCCTAACCGTCGTACTTACACTAATACCATTCTAGCCCTGTAGGATGATTAATCTTGTCATAGTATTTAAAATTTCAAAAACATTGTGAGAGCAGAAAATTGATGCCCCCAACTAACTGCGTTCTGAGATTGGATATCTGTGTTCTCAGTCGTTAACGCTCTTAAAGTTTATTGCAAGTTGATAGACTCAAATGAAATAAAATAGTTGTTTCCAGTTAATAATCTTATTTATATTTCAATATATTAAACAAATTTAAATAACCATTTAACTCTTAACTTATCACCACGAAAAAAAAGAAAAAACTTTTAAGAGCTAAACTTTTAATTACAATAAATAAAAATTTTAAGCTCGATACTGTTTTAATAAAGGTTCTAACAGAGTAGGCTTACGGAATACTGACTGACAGACCAGTTAAAATTGTCATCTTACTTTTAAAATGTTACATGATAAACTTTTCCCATACTATGTTTTTTTTTTTGTTAACACTCTAGCGTCTTTAGCTAGATGACTTTGGTTTCGTTGTTCTTTAACCATTATTTTTAGATCATCAAAAGCGCGGCATCTTGACATTGCTACGTACAATGCCCCATGCTGAAAGCAGGGCTCTGGCATATAAAGACTAACTTTTTCAAGTGTCTGTCCTTGACTTTTTCCAGCCGAACTTTCAGTAATAATTTCAAGATTTAGGACTTTGTTATTCAACTCTTTACCATTAATCTGGTTCCATTAACCAGTCCTTTTTGTGGATTTAAATTCCTTAGTAAAATTACAATTACACCTTTTTAAAGGCATAATTTGTGAGGAGGTAAACCTCTTGGTGCTAAAATGTGAAGAAATTCACCAGGTACATGTAACTGGTCCCCCTCTTCTTGAATCAATCCGTCCACTGATTAGTAAACTCTCATTATTTAGTTGCTCAACTAACTATTTTATCTATATATAAAGCCAAAAGTACCCATGAACTTTTGAGAAACTACAAGTCACACCCCCCTAAACCATATACTTAAAATGTTCGTCATGGCGAGAAACCTTGCGCAAAACTATCCATTATTTCTTAAATGCCCTTTAAGGTCGTAATTCCTTTCTAAAGGGAACTTTCCATATACCTAATGTTAAAAATACCTCAGCTGTACTTATTTGTTTGTATTACTGTATTCCGTTTTGTTTATTTCAGCTTAACTTAAGCAATCAACAATTTTATTAATACTTATGAAGTCAAACGGGGTGAAGCCCGTAGGTAACAGCTAGTTAAAAGTAAATATTAAAATGACATATAGTCGGGGAAATATAGGATATGACCTTAAAAAAATTGCAAGAAAATGTTTTATGGTTTTATTTTGTAGAGCTGGGTTTGCAGAATGAGGTACTAAAAGTTGCCAAAAATCGGTGGACGAGAAAACCACTAAAATCACAATTTAAAATGGCGGCTTTTTCCAACATTGGACAAATTTAAAAAACATATTTCACATGCATTTGTTATGCACATTTTTCGAGATATTGACTTAGGACCACCGCCTAAAATTTATTGGGTGGTTAGTACTTCATTTTGATAGGGAACACGTTTTTTGGCCGCCATTTTGGATCCGCCATATTGGACATAGATAATTTTTTTCAATGTAATGATAGTGTTGTGACACATCATTACCAACTACATTTTTACACTGATTTCAATAACAAAATCCGTTTTTAAATATCTTTATTCATTTTGAAGATATGTTCAAACGAACACTCTCCACCATATATTTCTTATGGACGTTTCGTAGTTCGATAATTTTTTAAAACTACTTTTCTTATATCTCCAGTTCTTATTAACGCTTGTAGTTCATTCTAGGCTTAAAATATTCAGTAATGTAAGGGCTTTCATTTGAGCTCTTGATCATTAAAATCAGACGAGTTAAACACCAGCTACGAACCTCAGAACAATATTAAATTTAACGTTTTAGAAATATATTTTTATTAAAAGATTTATAACTCGGGTTGTTAATACGTCACCAAGTTCTTTCTGGTCTCAAATTACTTAGTAAATGTTTGGCTTTAATTTTATTAATCATTAAACAAAATCTGACAATTTTAAAATGAGTCATTGACCATCATTTAACATTATAATGTATTTATTTTGAAATTTGTCTTTAGTTAAAGACGTATATCCCCAATTCTAAATAACTCCCAAAGCTCTTTATAGTCTTAAATGATTCGTAATATTATTGACTTTTATTTTAGCTATGAATTACTTTTTGGGTGTTATTAGGGTTTGGGATATATGTACTTAATTAAAGACGAATTTCAAAAAAGATATAATTTACTGTTAAGTGAAGATTCATGACTCATTTTAAATTACTCAGATTTTATTTAGTGATTAATAAAATTAAATAAAAACATTTACAGAGTAATTTAAGACCAGAAAGAACGTGGTGACGTATTAACAACCCGAGTTATAAATATTTTAATAAAAATATATTTCTAAAAAGTTAAATTTAATATTGTTCTGAGGTTCGTAGCTGGTGTTTAACTCGTCTGATTTTAATGATCAAGAGCTCAAATGAAAGCCCTTACATTACTGAATATTTTAAGCCTAGAACGAACTACAAGCGTTAATAAGAACTGGAGATATAAGAAAAAAAAATTTTTTTAAATTATCAAACTATGAAACGTCCATAAGAAATATATGGTGGAGAGTTTTAGTTTGAATATATCTTCAAAATGAATAAAGATATTTAAAAACGGATTTTGTTATTGAAATCAGTGTAAAAATGTAGTTGGTAATGATAAGTCACAACACTATCATTACATTGAAAAAAAATTATCTATGTCCAATATGGCGGATCCAAGATGGCGGCCAAAAACGCGTTCCCTATCAAAATGAAGTACTAACCACCCAATAAATACAGGCGGTGATCCCAAGTCAATATCTCGAAAAATGTGCATAACAAATGCATGTGAAATGTGATTTTTTTAAATTTGTCCAATGTTGGAAAAAGCCGCCATTTTAAATTGTGATTTTAGTGGTTTTCTCGTGCACCGATTTTTGGCAACTTTTAGTATGTCATTCTGCAAACCCAACACTACAAAATAAAACCATTAAACGTTTTCTTGCAATTTTTTTAACGATCCCTGTGTAAGTTTTTTTAGTTTGCTTGGACTAATATAGTCCAGGAGCTGAGGGGGTTTGAGCATGCATGAAAGTAGTACGCAATGTTATTGCTGATTATTGTAATATGGACTGTGGTGATCAAAATTACGTATGTCGCCTATTTCAAAAGTGGTCGATAAGGTGGGGGGGAGGGGGCAAACATGGCGGTTTGCGCTATGCGTTAAAACGCTGATAGTTCGAAAACGGTAAAAGATAGAACATCGGTTAAAACGTCGTTGGAATTCTAAAAATGTGGACAACAATAATGGTTATTGGGTCCGAGGTCGTATCTCTATAAATAAACAAGTTATTGTATAAAATATGTAAAAATGGACTTTTCGTGTAGTTTTTTAACCGAAAGTAGAATTAATTTGTGAGTGTCGCAAAGAAGTAATATCAAATATCTTTGCTGATAGTTGTAATATGGACTGTGGTGATAAAAAATACGCATGTCGCCTACTTTTCAGGTGGTCGAGAACTTGGGGGGAGGGGGGCAAAGATGGCGGAACGCGCTATGCATCGAGACGACTGTAGCTCGAGAACGGTACGAGATAGGACATCGGTTAAAACGTAGTTTTAATCCAAAAAATATTACCAATAGAAAAGGTCATTGGGTAAAAAGTTGTATCTTAACTAATAAAAAAGTTATAACAATAATAAGCTTAACAAAATCTACATCGTACAGCTATTTTTTTTTCGAAAATCGTATGGATTATTGATAAATAATAGTGTAATTCCTTAATTACTCGGCTATATATTAACTAGATGCATTTTCTTATAAGAAAAAAATATATTATTACGAATACATTCGGTTTAAAATGTAAAACACGGCCTCCAAACGCCTTGGGGTTCGTCCGATAGGTTGCGTCATAATTGCTGCGCAGTGCTGCTGATATCGGCACAACTGTTAATAAGAACTGAATAACTGGCATAACTGAATAAGAATCTGTTACATAATCATATTGTAATAACCTACAACTTTATAATAATTAAAATTGGATTTGTAGTGGTAGTCTGTATTATGCATTTGATTGCGGCGAAACCCCAAGTATTATATGTAGTTTGGAGGCCGTGTTTTAAATTTTAAACCAAATGTATTCGTAATAATATTTTTTTTTCTTATAAGAAAATGCACCTAGTTAATATTTAGCCGAGTAATTAAGTAATTGCACTATTATTTATCAACAATCCATACGATTTTCGAAAAAAATAGCTGTACGATGTAGATTTTGTTAAACTTATTATTGTTATAACTTTTTTATTAGTTAAGATACAACTTTTTATCCAATGACCTTTTCTATTGGTAATATTTTTTGGATTAAAACTATGTTTTAACCGATGTCCTATCTCGTACCGTTCTCGAGCTACAGTCGTCTCGATGCATAGCGCGTTCCGCCATCTTTGCCCCCCTCCCCCCAAGTTCTCGACCACCTGAAAAGTAGGCGACATGCGTATTTTTTATCACCACAGTCCATATTACAACTATCAGCAAAGATATTTGATATTACTTCTTTGCAACACACACAAATTAATTCTACTTTCGGTTAAAAAACTACACGAAAAGTCCATTTTTACATATTTTATACAATAACTTGTTTATTTATAGAGATACGACCTCGGACCCAATAACCATTATTGTTGTCCACATTTTTAGAATTCCAACGACGTTTTAACCGATGTTCTATCTTTTACCGTTTTCGAACTATCAGCGTTTTAACGCATAGCGCAAACCGCCATGTTTGCCCCCTCCCCCCCACCTTATCGACCACTTTTGAAATAGGCGACATATGTAATTTTGATCACCACAGTCCATATTACAATAATCAGCAATAACATTGCGTACTACTTTCGTGCATGCTCAAACCCCCTCAGCTCCTGGACTAATAAGGGAAAGAGGTTATTTTTATGAAGACAGATGTTTTCAAAAGGAAATGAATCATATGTTTGATAAACTTAACTAAGTTTTCACTTATCTATATATTAATAGGCAAGCATATTTCTTTCAAACCTTTTTTCTCAGCTCGTGTGCATCGCAGGGAAAATCTATGCATACTGTTAGAAAGATATATTCCTGTAGATGTGCAGAATCCCTTTAAAAATTAAAAAAGGCTCAAATATAAGCACAGAAAATGAATTTCAAAATTAAAAAAAAAACTGCATGGGCTTTATGTGTTGCCATGCTGGTGACGAAATAACAATGAAATATAAACACAGAAAATCAAAACAAATGGAAGAAATTAAAATCACATGTTTTATTTACAGCAAGGGGTGAAAATAGAGAAGCCTGTAACTTTGAATTACAAA